GATGAGAGAGTCATTGATCAGCTGCCCAGCTTGCAACCCGGGCCTGTGCCCTGACCGGGAATCGAACCCCGATCGCCTGGATCCTAGGTCAACGCTCAACCTCTGAGCCACGCCTGGCCGGACTCAATAAAAATATTTAAAAACAACAACCCCGGCTTCCATTGGAGGCATTTGCTCCGACCCTCTCCCTGCTCCCACCTGCCCTTATTTGCCCCTGACTTACGACTTCACTGTTTGACCAACACACTCAGGTTTGTACGTCTGTTCTCTGCTCACTTTGCTGTACAGGGTTTGCAAAAGTAGGTTTACAGTTGTTTGTATGGAAAATAATACAATGGCCCATAAATAATAAATACAAGAATAAACTCTGTGTACTTAACAGATGTAAACCTACTTTTGCCCATCCATGTATCTTTGGGTTCTGGCTGCCAAGTAGCCCGAGTTCGGCTGGAAGGGGTCCTCCGGTCACCCTCACGGGCTAGAACCAGGCCCCCTGCTCTGTCTAGTCAGGCTGAAGGTTAGGCTGCTGTTTCCGGTCAGAGCTGGGCCTAAAGCCCCTCCTCTCTCCCGGAGCCCCCTCTGCGGCCTGAGGCTCATGTCGGCCTGGTGTCCCCAACCCCCACCCCCTTTCCTAGCTTGACTCAGACAGGGTTTCATGCATTTTTTGAGATTCACAAAATCTGTTTTCAAGATTAAACTCCCTTATTTAGAGGCTTTGCGGAAAGCGGGCGATGTCCTTGCTTGTGAAGAATTGGGGACGCCGGAAATTGGAACTGCAGGCCCGAGTGGCCAGCTGATCTCAGGCGGCGGTGACGAGATCGCCCAGGTGAGAAAGATGAGCCCTTGAATTCCCAGCCCCTCATTAGTCACAGACGCTCCCTGCCTTCCGGAAACCCGGAGCCACACTTCCAAGAGCTTATCAGGGGACTGGAACAGTCATTCGTGACACAGGATCCAGGCTTCTTTTTAATGCCCTGGTGCTATGAATGACTCAGGCCCAGTCTGGTTTTTGTTTTTTTGGTTAATCTTCACCTGAGGATTTCCATTGATTCCTTTTTTTAGAGAGAGTGGGAGGGAGGGAGGGGAGAGAGAGAGAGAAACATCAACTTGAGAGAGACACATGGACCCCTGCACGCGCCCCAGCTAGGGCCAGGGAACCAACTTGAAACCCCGGTACGTGCCCTTGACCGGGAATCAGACCTGTGACCCTTCAGTGGACAGGCTGACGCTCTAACCACTGAACCACACTGGCCAGGACTCAGGTCCATCGTCCAACCTTCAGGCCCAGAGCTGCGCTATCACCAGCCCCCTTGTGGTGTTTTCACAAATCGTAGAATCACCCCGAAGTGTCCTTGGAGACCACCGTCACCTTCCTCCTGTCACGGATGTGGAGACTGAGGACAGAGAAGGGCAGGGTCTCGGCTGCCGTCTGCAGGAATTGGTGGGGGGCTGGGGACCAGCACGTGCATATCCTGACCCTCAGTTCATGACGCGGACCCCAAACGGCCTCTTGGTTCTGGGGTCACGTCGGTGAAACAGCAGAGGGCGTGTCTTGTTCTGGGGTTTGGGGGAGAGCGTGAGTCCTGTTCTGGCTTGGCGGCTGGAGGATTGGCTAACTGCCTCATAGTTTTCATTTATTCGGTACAAATACAGGGTGTCCCCCCCAAATGTATAGACGCTCTTAACCCATTATTAATTCCAATGGGTTAAATCTGGAAAGAAAGAAACATCAGTTGAGCTGTTAAAGTGTGTATGCATTTTTGGGGGACACCTGCATTCACTGAAGGCCTGGCATGTGGCCGGAGCACAATCCCTGGAGGAAAATACTCTCCAGCCTCCCCCCGTCTGGCTGACGGTGTGCTACCACCAGGGTTTCCTGATGCAAAATACGGGTCCTGAGTGCCTGTCTTCCCTCTCCTCGCGGTTCCACATGTCCGGGGTGGGGCCAGGCGCCTTTACTTTAAAGTAGCTTCCCCGGTGATTCCGACGACCTGCCAGGTTTGGGCTCCACGGGCTCCTCTACTGTCGTCATTGAGACTCCGGGACAGGTGAGGACCCGCTACAGGTGTGGGGACTGAGCGGCACTCAGGTGAGGCGGGTTCTCGGGTCGCAGAGCTGGTGAGGAACGAGTGGTTTCGATGCTGCGGCTTCTCCGTATGAGGCTCTGGCTTCCCGCAGGAGAGCCTGGAGCAGCAGCCTGCGGCCCGGGGACCCTGGCCTTCACTGTCGGGCGCTGCCAGGAACACGGCCGCCGCAGGAGCCGTGACATGGCCGTCAGGTGAGAACAGGGTCTTCTCAGGACCCCGGTCCCGCCGCCTCTGCTGCTGACTGTGGTGAATTTGCCGACACACAGAGCAGGGAAAAGGAAGGTCTTAACCTCCCTCTGTTTCGGTGAGTTTGTCCTGATTTTTAATGGGACAATTAGGGTCCCAGGGCTGTAATAACAATGAATGCCGGGAATGATGATGACTTAATCCAACAGCTTCCATCAAACGCTTGCTACGTGCCAGGCGAGAAGGCCTGGGATTGCACCGTTCACTCGGATGTCCAAAGGAACACATTTCGAAATGGACCAACGCGGCCTGTCAGAGCCTGGGGGGACTGCACTGAGAAGCGGGGTCTCTTCCAGGGTCCCACTCCCCACCCCCGAGGCTTCGTTTGTTTATTTATTTATTTACTTATTTTAATTTATCTTTATTGTTGCGATTATTACAGGTGTCCTCTTTTTTCCCACTGGCCCCCCTGCACCTCGCCCCGGCCGCACCCCCACCCCCAGGCCTTCACTGCGCTATTTACCACCTGCGCCCCTGGGTCATGCATGTGGATATATGTTATTTGT